TTGAAACATCGTTTCCTTTTTCTCAAAACATTGATTTCTGTTTGTTATTGTTTAGTCTGGCTATATTTATTGCATACTGGCTTCTTCTATAGGTATTTGGTCTTCTTTGAGAGTTTTTATTCTGTTCTCTTTATCCATCTGTGTTTTCGGCTTCCCATTTCACCTTGCTTTGTCTACAGGGATCAACTGAGTTGTCTGCAGTTTAATGTTGCAAAGGGAAAGACTAAGGTCAGCTTGAGTTCTGTTCCTCTGTAAATAGCATGCTTTTGCTGTTTAGATATCTATAGCATTTCAAGTTATATATTGAATTTAAGCTCTAAGTAGAGTTTTAATTTCAGTTCTTTAATTTATTGAGCGCTCACGAAGACTTTTGACGTATAGGGTCCCCAATGTTTCTGTCAACTTCTCTATATTCATGATTGCTTGTGGATTTCATCTCTGTGTAATACTGTTTTCAGAACTCAGAAAGTTATTTTTTGAACATTAACATTATTTTCCTAGATATTAAAAGTTTTTAATTTTCTTTTGATCTTTTAAGCATGTGAGTATAAATGGTAAAATAATCACCTTATTTTGTCAGCAATCTATTTCCAAAAGAGGAATTTCTACTCCTTCTTAGGCCAGTCTCCTTCCTTCTTGCTTCATCATTGCAAGTATATTTTACTTCATGGGAGGGAGATATTGAAAATCACCTTCCTCTCACTCCCTTTACCTTTTTGCAGCTATACTTGCACCTACTTTACTTAAGCAATTTTTCATCCACTAAGTATTTTTGCTTAGTAGGATGGACATTTTACACTCATATTTTATCTTATTTCTATTTTTAACATTTTAATATTGATTGATTTTCTAAAATATAGGAAGTAGAAATTATATGCTCTTCTTAATTTATTAAGATTATGCTACCATCTTTCCTTTTTTGATGTCTTTACCTATATTTTAGGACTAGTGTTTTGAAATGCCTTTTTAAAATTCATTTGTCTTTAGCAAGAAAATGATTTTGCCTCTTGGTAGACAACCTGATTAAGCATTGAAATTTACCATAATCTTGGAGCACAACTCCATGCTCAATGATCTTTATTAAGTACTTATTCATCAGGTTCCTGGTTTTTACCATGTTAGAGTAAGAATACCTTTGCTAAGCTTGGTTAAGTCCTTGTGTCTACTAGTATATGTGAACTAAAATTAGAATTCTCATTGTTTTCCTTTACAGTACACTCATTCATTTATTTGTATGTGTGATATCTATTAAGAAATTTATACCAGGCACTGTTCTTGTTGTTGAGGATACAAATAGATAAAAGAGGGTCCTTTCTTTCAAGGATCTAGCACCTATTATTAATGAGTCGGTCCTGTAACATCCAACTGAGAATCTTGTTGGTGGTCCCGGAGTGCACCAGGACTTCAGAAGGAATGATTGCTTTGGGGAGGGCCGGAGGCAGAGACTATTTGGTTAACGTGGGTTCTTCAGAGGAGATGGTGCTGGAATTTGCTCTTCAAGACTGAAAAGGAGGTGACCATGTGGATCCGGGCTTTTGTTACTTGGTAGCAGAATGGCTAGTAATCAGAGAATATACTGCATTGGAAGAGGTTGCTAAAGATATAATCATCATTTAAATAATTATGTGGTTATTTATTATCTCTTGAATTTTAAGACAATCAGAGTTCATTGCAAATATTTGTTGTTAGCAAGTCATTTTTCCTCCAGTCAGTTTTAGTACAAGTGAGTGGTCAAGCTCAAGATTACTGAAGAACAAGGTGCCCTCTCCTTAGGTCTGCCTGGACGTGAGCTGTGGCCACTCGGTGCCTTTTGAAACCAGAATATACTCTTGGCACAGGCATTAACAGTCTGCATTAACAATCTTTCAACAACCCATCTCTCATCATACATTTTCTAATCATTTTGTTTCTTAAAGAGTTAAGTAACTAAGCCCTCTATTCTTTTAAACCCAAACTTATATTTTCTCCCCCATATGCATTTCCTTTCCTTAGCACCCTGGGCTATGCACCCCTGAACGCTCCTGGGCCTTGTATTCAGGTTGAGGAGAGAGGGCCCGTGTTCTCCACTTTTGGATGTGACAGATTTAGTTGGTTGTTTCAGTAGATGACCTTCTGTAAGTTACTCTGTAGTAATTTTTTCACTCATTCCTAACTCTCTAAGTGGCATTGAAATCAGCTGTGAATCAACTGGGAAATGCTGAAATGATTTTGCAATCATTTGGGGAAATTTTTCCCACACTACTGTAATGAAGACCATCAATTTTAAAATGTACTATAGCATCAGGCATAGACTCCAGCTTACGTTTTACATTATTCCTGGTCATGAAGTCGGTTCTGAAGAAAAAAGGAGTATGGATAATCAGTTAAAAGAATGACAGATTCCCTGAGGTGCTGATCAGTAGTAATACCTAATTTTGATTTTGAGTGTGCTGTAGTGGATTACCATATAGATGTAGTTGAGCACTGAGCATTAACTAGAACTGTGTGTTTTTTGAGAAGTAATATTTATTCATACTGTGTGGCTTTCTTGACTTTTCTCTCTTTATTTTACTGTCCAATGAAACGATAAACAAGATGTCAATAGCTTATGTGGCATTGCAGTAGGGTAGCTTAGAATATCAGCTGCAATAGAGAAAACGCCAGATTGGGTTTGCCTGAGTAAAAATAGGCTTCCTATGAGGCTTTCTGAGGGATAGGCTTAAACAGTTAGACATATATGACTGTGTAGGGATTTATTTTTACTGGCCTCATACTTTTTATTCCATAAAATTATGGCCTTTGCAGTATTTGGGTATAAAAATATTTCCATATGGGTAAGGTACCTTTGAATTGTTGAATAAGATTTTGTTCATTTGAAAATATTTTCAGTATCTCAGTATTAAACATGATCCTTTGTATCTAAACTTTATTGAATTTATTTTTGAGTGTCTTTGAAGTCCATTTATTTTATCATTATGGAAACTTTTATCCCATAGTGGTGTTGATGATGTGTCTGATCTCAGACAAGTTGGAGACTAACTTTGTGGCAGATGACAGAATCCAAGAATCTGTATTCATATCATCCCGCTCCAAACTTTTTTTTATGTGAACATTGTTTTTCTTGTTGCATATTAACAAAAGAAAATTAGGAAAATTGATTTGTATTTTGGGAGGCTGGAAAGCATGCTCAGTGTGAAAATTGTCTTTCTGACTAAACAGAAGACCTGAAGGGTAGTGAACATGCTTTTGTTCATGGCTTCCAAGAGAAGGTCTCTCCTAAACCTTTATAGCAATTTTCTTATCATATTCTATATGAAATTTTAAAATGAATTGGCATGATAGATCAGATGAACCTGGAGTACAACTGGGGTGCCAACCCTCCAGGAGTTTGAGAAGGAGATCTCCCTGGGGAGAAAATTAAGTTCTAGCCCTAAAGCCTTCCATTCTTATACTTTGTTAATAGCAGCCCTAGGAAGCTAAGACACAAGGCCACAATTTCAAAAGAAAAAAGCATTCAACATTCATTTACTGATTATTCATAGAAAAGACCTTTCATTAGCCAAATACTCTTGTACATTATACATTTGTTCTTTGATTTTTCTATATATAGAGAGATTAGGAACTATAGTCCTGAAATTTACTTTTAACTATTAATATCAAGAAATGTTTTTCCACTAATTTCATTTTCTTAAATTGATGGTTATTGTTTGGTTAACATAAAGTTATCACTTTAGTTTCTTCTTACCCATCCCCCCAACACATACACACACACACACACACACACACACACACACACACACTTCTTGTCTTCTTTTGACAATAACTAAATGGGTTAGAAATATCTTTAAAACATTTAGGAAAGTAAAGAAACTATCGCTGGGAGCACTGTATGAAGTGCTGTATTTATGGTATAGTTGCTTCCACTCCCCTTTAAAACATATATAGCTCACAGTGGGGACTGCCGTGCAGAGACTTTTTTAATAGGGATCGTCTGGGTATAGTCATCATTAGTCCCACCAAATGACTTTTTCCTGATGTGTCTGAGTAAGAGAAGATGAGGGAAAGATACTGATAGGATTCAGTTACAAATGATTGTTAACAGGGTTAATGGTGCTTGCCATCTGATGGGTATAAAGTGTGCCATCACCAAGCAGGAAGGGGAGATCTCATGTTAACAATAAGAAAGAAGAGCCAGGAGTGGAGGAGCATGTTCTTGGGACCCTATGTCCAAGGGACAGCTGTGATATCGGAGCATCAACAGACACGGAAAGCAGCAGAACCAAGAACCAGAGCATGAAACAAAACGGTGGACTTCATAGCCCATAGAGCAGCGGTTCTCAACCTGCCTAATGCTGCGACCCTAATACAGTTCCTCATGTTGTGGTGACCCCCCAACCATAGCATTATTTTCGTTGTTTCTTCATAACTGTCATTTTGCTACTGATATGAATTGGGTGACCCTGTAAAAGGGTCGTTTGACCCCCAAAGGGGTCGCCATCCACAGGTTGAGAACCACTGCCATAGAGCAAGTAAAACTGAATGCCTTTGGTCAGGAAGCTGGCTTGTATAGTAAGTGTAGTAAGATGACTCCAGACATTAATTGGGGAGATAAGTTTGCTGATCCTTTGAACTAGAGCGGAGTGTCTTTCAGCTGAGGCTTATGGCATTTATTGGAAGCATTTGGCATTTAGGCATTTGGGAATTTATTGGAAGCCTTAAAAAAGCTGCACAAATTGCTTAGGGAGGGCAGAGGCCAAAGGGCTTTGTGGCTGAGAGGCCAAAGATTAAAGAGATCCCTACATATGGGCACGGCTTAGAAAAGACTGTCCTTTTCAAATAATTGTATCATAAGCATTTGTAATCTACTAATGTCTATAATGCACACCATAACTGTGAGTATGTACTATGAGTTCTGTGTGGCCGTTGCAATGGATTACCTACCTTCACTGAGAAGTAGAATGAATGCTGTGGTGGGTGGGACGTAGTCCCTATCAGAATTGGTAAGGTAGAAGGACAAAAGCATGTCTGAGCTCAGTTTCATGGGAATCAACTTGGTGATGGTGATTCTTCTCCACCCACACCCACCTTGTGTAGCCCGAGGTGTCAGGTGCCACACCCACGTCATATCTTCTAAAGTGGTCTGTAGTGAAAATGTGAAATCTCATTTGTTGGTTATTTTCTCTTCATCTCTTATTAATTTTTGTTTTTTAGAAAATATTGCAGTTTCTACCTGAACGGATTTTCTTTCGATGGCATTACCAGAGTATAGGTAAGAACACTAAAATACAGGTATATATAAAATAATGAATTTCTTCCAATTATATTTTCAGTAATGTTTTGACACAGATTTGGTTTTAGCTGTGTAAGTGTTCCTGGCTTACTGCCCTGGGGCACCCAGTAGCTGCACAATTACATGGGATAGCCTCTGACAAAGGCTCATTGCTCAACGTTTCTCCTGCCCGCTGGGCTCTCACTTCTCCGTAGGAGCCTGAGTTTGGCAGCCCTTCCTGGGTCCCCAGAGTCAGGTCATACTACAACCTACTCTTCCTGAGAAGCATGATGTCTCCATGTACGTCATGCTAGGACTCCCTCAGAAGTTCATCACAGCCAGACTGGAATCCAGGTGCTCTGCATGCCTCTGTGTCCACTAGGGGATGGCTAGTACTAATATTCCTGGCAGTGTGGGGGCCAGCTCACTTCATGCATTTCCAGGGACCTCATCACTCTGTTTCTTCCTTCCTGCCGACTTCTTTGTGCTCTGCTCTTTGGAAGCTCTCTTTCTGAGATTCACATGACCTTATAATGTCAGCCTCTTTTTGTCACCGACCTGAAGCCTGACTTTCTTCAGAGACACCTTTCTCACCCACAATAGTATGAGGGTGAAATATGGTGGTCTTCCTTTTCTCCAAGACAGTTCTGGACATTATCTACTCCTCCATAGAAACCTCTCTCCTTTGACTATGCCACCGCCCATCCTTATTGCCACCATGTCTTTTGAGCTCTTGCTCACTTGCCACCAATTTTTAATGGCATTATTATTTCCCAGTCATTTTCTTTTCTGCCAAATTTCCTATCAGTCCCTTGATCCTCCCCCGCCCCCTTCCTATCTGTGTCTACTTAACTTCCTCTTCCTGATACTTGTCATCATGCAGACCATGATTTCCATCCTCTTAATCATTCATCCTGTCATTTCCAAGCCACCTATTATGTTTATTAAGTAGTTTTATTGAGGTATAACTGACATACATCAATTTATACATATTTAACATGTATATTTTGAAAAGTTTTGACATAGATTTATGTCTGCAAAACCATTTACCCCGTGATAATGACCAAAGTTACCATCTCCAAAAGTTTCCTCATGTCAAGAGACAACCTTTAAAACAAGAAAACGTTAACACTGCAACAGGAAATAGATAATCTAAGTTTAAAAAAAAAAAAAGGACAGAGGACGTGAGTAGATACTTCACCAAGGAAGACATTCAGGTGGCCAACAAACATGAAAAAATGCTTAGGGTAATTAGCCATTTGAGAAGATGTAAATCAAAACAATGAGATATAACCTACCCCAACATTCAAAAAACAGAAAACAACAAATGCTTGTGAGGGTGCGGAGAGTGTGAAACCTCTCTACGCTGCTGGTGGGTCTGTAAAATGGTATAACTATTGTGAAAATGATATGAAACTTCATAAAAAAGTTGGGAGTAGAGGGGTTCATATAGAAAAAGAATGCTTGGAAATGGATTGTGGTAGTAAATGTACAATTCTGCTGGATGTGATTGAACTATGGGATGATTTGAGAGATGTGTTAATCCCAACTAATATAAATAAATGGTCAAGAAAGCTCTAGGAAGCAGTTCCTCTCTGTCACACATGGAGTCACCAATAGTCAGAATTAACTAGCCAGCAACTAACAACAAACACTTAGCTTCCTAATATATTTTTCAAAAAGTCATCAGTTAACATTAAACTGTCAAAAAATTTTGTACCACTTAAATAATATTGTCATTATTTTCCTCTTTCTTTGTTTATATTTGGATAATATAAGTAATTAATTTACTCCATTATCTTGACTAAGACTTGTATTCCTGGAATAAACCTAACAAATAAAAAAAAAAGAAAGAAAAGTTGGGAGTAGAAATACCTTATAACCCATTATTTGGTATATATTCTAGAGAAATAAGAACCACTGTACAAATAGTATATGCATACCCATGTTCATTGTATCATTATTCATAATAACAAAAAAGATGGCAACAACTTAGATATCCATCAATTTAAGGATATGGATAAGCATGGTTTAGTAGATACATACAATGGAATACTATGCAATGTTAAGTAATAACATTAAAGAATCATGATGAATCTGTAAATACTTCATGACAAGGATGAACCTGGAGGGCATTATGCTGAGTGAAATTAGTCAATCACAAAAGGACCACTATTATAAAAAGACAATAAATAGTTTGCACACTAAAAGAAACGTGCTTTAATGGTTATTAGAGGTGGAGGAGAAGTCATGGACAGAGGGTAGACACATGTTACCTTGGGTAAAGAGGAAGGCAATAAGGAGGTGAGGAAAAATGATGGATTCAGAAGACAGTAGAAGTTGTCAAATGTTAAAGCCAACAGAGGTAAATATTAATCTATATACAACCCTACAGTAGTGGTGATCTATGAATAGAGGGTTGGAGACATGCAAGCTGAACAGGTGTGGGAGGAGAAGTGGGAACCCACAGATGTATATGTATGCTTGCCTTTGCTGAAAATATATCCATGCATGTGGTAGAGCCTACAGCGTGCAAAATTATGAAAGCTTCTTAGACATAACAAAACACAAGGAGGAAACCAGTTGCTCAACCTGGTGGCTCAGGATCATAGTCTTGGGTACATCAAGATGCATTGACATAAAATAGTTCAAAAGATAATATTCTGTATACTAACTTTGATTACTAGCAATTGGGATCTTAAAAGCTCATGAGCAGCCATCTAAGGTGCAACTATTGGCTTTTCCCTGTCTGGAAGAAAGTGATGAAAATCAAACGATACATGGAAACAGTTCAATGGAATAAGGACCCATGTAAACACCAGTCTCCACAACCCTGAGACATGAACTAGATGGTCCCAGCTACCACTACTAACTGCTCTGAAAAAGGATCACATTAGAGTAAGAGAAAAATGGGGAACAGAACTCCAAATCATGAAAGGCACCAGGCTTATTGGTCAAATAGAAATCGGTGGGACCCACAAGACCTTCGTCATTCTTCACATCTTCAATCCTTAGAACAGGCAACCATTTAAGATAGAAAGGGCATTATTTATCTAAGGACCAAGAGTCAGGAAAGAAGGGTGGGATGGAAACAGGAAACACTGGGTGGAAATGGATAAACAGCCTTACATTAATTCCCTGCCATTGGATTTGTTCTGCGTCATAGCAGCCCTGTATTGGGTTTCAGAGGCAATAAATCTTAATGGGAGCAGATAGCCTCATCTTTGTCCTGAGGAGCCACAACTGCTAACCCTTGAGGTTAGCAGGTCAATGCTTATTTGATAACACAACCATAATGCTTACCTGAATGGTACATTAAAGGGGTTGAAGTGGATGAGTTGAAACAAAGTTTGTATAAATTATTGAATGAAAAAATGATAAATCTTCTCTGTAAACTTTCACCTAAATCACAATAAAGCTTTAAAAATAAATAAGTTTCTTTATGCTTCTAGGTAATCCATCCCCCCTCCCCTTCCTTACCTCACCCTACCATCCCCAGGCAACCACTTAACTGCTTTTTGTCATTATAGATTACTTTGTATTTTCTAGAGTTTTATGTAAATAAGCTTGTGCAATATGTACCCTTTTTTTGTCTGACTTCTTTCATTCAGCATAATTATTTTAAGATTCATCCGTGTTGCATTGTTCATCCCTTTTTATCTCTGACCATTCTAGTCTTCCAGGATGTGGATATATCACAGTTTTTTTGGTTGCTGTTGTCGATGCACATTTGGGGTTTCTAGTTAAATTTATTACATATAAAGCTACTAAACTACCTTTTGTATTACTAAGGGATGGAATGACTAAATCATGCACAGGTTTGTGCTTACCTGCCTGATTATTTTCCAACGTGGTTCCATTCCTCCCACTAGTGTGAATTCCTCTTTCTGCACATCTTCATCAACACTTGAATATAGAGTGTTTTTATTTTAGTGATAGTAGTGTCCTCTTATTTTTTTTGTTTGGATTTTGTAATGACTACTGATCTTGTACACATTCTCTTGTCCTTTTTTATTTACCGCACCCTATAATACAGCATCCTGGTGGTGTGGTTACATGTTGAGCTTCAATTTGCATCCTTGGCAGTTTGAAATCACTAGCTGCTAGAAATCACTAGCAGCGTGGCAGGAGAAAGACTGGGCTTTCCACTTCTGTAAAGTTACAGTTTTGATAACCCACAGGGGTTACTATGAGTCAGCATTGACTCAATGGCAGTGAGTTTGGTTTTGGTTTAGATGGTACAGAGTAGAGATTCCCTTGTGGATAAATTACTTAACCAAAGTGGATAATACTGCCCCCTGTGAGGCGGTGCTGGAATATTAGGGGTAGGGTTGCAAAAGTGACATTTAACCCTTTATACTGGATTGTGGACTATACTACAAAACATTTTCATTTCCAAGGGGTCACTGGATAATTTTTTTCTTTTTTTCTGAAAAAGGGATGGTAGGCCAAATGAATTTGGGAACCTCTGGTGTAAACCTTTACAGGAGAAGAAAGCATCATCAGTCCTGCAGAGTAGCTGGTGGTTTTGAACTGCTGACCTTGCACTTATCAACCCAATGCATAACCCGCTATGAGTCAGAATTTACTCAGTGATTGTGTGTGTGTGTGTGTGTGTGTGTGTGTGTGTCGGGGGAAGAGGGAATAGCAAGTAAGATTTTTTTTGATGAAGCGTGTCTTCCAATCTTTTGGCCATTTAAAAAAAAATTGTGTTTTTATTGGATTGCCCTAATAATGAGTTTTGAGAATTTCTTACATATTCTGCATATGCATTCTTTTCTTATTTGTACATTTGAAATAATTTTTACTGTCTGACTTATCATTTCCTTCAGAAGCTTTTAATTTTGATGCAATCCAATTTATCACTTTTTTAATAGATTGTGCTTTTGATATGAAATGTTTGACTAACCCAAAGTCACAAACATCTTTTCCTGTATTTTCTTCTAGCAAGTTTTATGTTGCACGTGTAGGCCCTTGTTCTGCATATGAACTTATTTAAGCTTCATTCACAGTTTTCTACATTAGTTACAAGGAGCCCTGGTGGTGTAGTGATTATGTGTTAGGGTGCTATTGTAAGGTCAGCAGCGCAAACCCGCCAGCTGCTCCACTGGAGAAAGGCAAGGCTTTCCACTCTTGTAAAGAGTTACAGCTCAGGGAGGTTGAGTCAATGTGGCTGTGTAGTTGGACCCTCCGTGAAACACTCTACAAAAAAACTTTTGATAAAGAAAACACTTAGGAGCCTGAGTTCTGGATCTCCGGTGAGGAGTAGAGACCCCTGTCAGTCACACTTTGGTGTTTCAGAGGAGAAATTGACATGGAGAGTCCTCCCAAAAAACCAGTTTCTGCCTGGTACCATGCCTGCAGAGGCACCCCACCCCCAGAGCCCAGAGCCCCCGCAGAGGGGAGAGAGTTACCCTCCTGGGTATTTGTCAAATGTCCTTATAAAAAATGGGCTGTGACCAGTAATCTAACATTATTTTTACTTTCAGAGTTTTTTCAAACATGTATTTCATGTGTGATGAGATATTTGCACATAATCTGCTGGCATTCAGATTACTGTAATATCAATAATTTTGACTCATTTAAAAGAGTTTTGAAGAGGTACACACTTAAAATACTTTCATCTTAAAATTATCTTTTCCTGTATGACAATGTTTTGCTTGAAAGCAAGCCTTTTTCCTTTATTAAGGAGAAATATACAAGGAGCCCTGGTGGTGTAGTGGTTATACATTGGCCTGAGATCCTCAGGGTTGGCAGTTCGAAACCAATAGCAGCTCTGCAGGAGAAAGACTGGGCTTTTACATAGTTATAGTCTCGGAAACCCAAAGTGGGCCACTACTGATCATTAGTGACTCGATGGCATTTAGTTTGGTATATGTATCTATGAATATGTTGTATAAATGCATGTTTTATTTCTAACACTACATCCTTCTCATTTTTAAAATGGATTTTTTCCCCAAAGTTTTGTGGCATATAGTTCACATTTTATACAATTCAGTTGTTCAGTCATTTTAATAAGACTTGTTCAATCATCACCACAATCAGTTTCAGAACTTTTCATCATTCTTGTACTCATTGCTATTAGTTCCCCATTTCCCTCCAACCTCCCCTGCCATTAATCTAGTTAGTATCTATATAGATTTACCTATCCTGGATTTCATATGCTGAAAAGAATTGAAAAACAAACAAAAACTAACAAGAATAACCAAGTAAAACAGATAAAAACCTCAATAGAAAAGATAAAAAACCTAAATGGGTCATAGGGAGATCGCATGAGAGGGTGCTAAATTGTAACCTAACTGCATCTGCGCAGTCCACTTTCCAATGCACTCTGCATGTTAGCAAGGCTACTCACATCCCTGGTCCACGGCCAGAGGGCATTTGCTAGGAGCTTAATCCATTTGTATTTCCCTTTCACTTCATTTTAAAAACAACCAAGAAACCCAGCTTTAAAATGGGTCAAAAGGGAGATCAAATGATGGTATTACATTTTGATCTAGCTGCGTCTGTCATCATGCATTTTACAATGCTTTCTGTCTGCTAGCTGAGCTAGTCACATTCCTCAACTAGAGTCAGACAGGATTCACTGGAGGTTTACTCCATGTGTGGACCCTGCAAATGGATTTTGAACTTCCACTATCATTTATAGCCTTCCTTCTGCAAACTGGGTGTTCACAATTTAAGCTCCGATACCATTCCCTCCTTTAGATATGGATTATATTATTTACAATCCTTGGATGACACAGGCGGGTGTGGTTCTTCCATGTGGACCTAGTGGATGCCTCACATAGATGGCTGCTTGTTTGGAAACAAGCCTTTAAGGCACCAGATGCTATTTTTTTCTGAAAGCTGCGTAGCATGTAGTTTCTTCACCACACTTTGCTGTAGCACCCATATTTTTAGTGAATCTCTTCATGAGTATCAAGCAGAGGGCCATGTAATAATAACTAATTGTTTTTAGATTGGGGCTAGAATTAAGTGAAAGCTCAAAATCCATTCATTTATCTACGGTTTATATATGTCTCTGGTTCACCTTAGCGACATCATTGTCATTTTGTTAGAGAACATTATAAAACATCTCATGGAGCATCACTTCCACTGCCATCAAGGCGATACTGACCCATAGCAACCTTATAAGGCGGGATACAACTTCCCTTGTGGGTTTTCAAGCCTGAACATTTTCAAGAAATAGAAAGCCTCATCCTTCCCCTGTGAAGCAGGCTGGTGGTTTTGAACTGCTTGCTGTCTTTGCAGTTAACAGCCCATTGCATTAACAGTGCATATCTATGTATTGATAGTATCATTAGTTTAACCACAGACCTTAAGTGTGCATTCATATAATTTATTTCTAATTCATTGTTTTAAACTTCTAGGCTCAACTTTAAAGAAGCTTTTACACACTGGAAATTCCATTAAGGTATTTATTTTAGATGAAACTTTCAAAATTCTAAAATTTATTAATGTGATGAAATGACAAAGGTAGCATCATTTGGGGAACAAAAGACCTCTTGACTAAGTTTTTATTTATTTATTTAAGATCATTTTATTGGGGGCTCTTACAGCTCTTATAACAATCCATACATCAATTGTATCAAGCATATTTGTACATATGTTGCCATAATTTTCTAAACATTTAGTTTCTACTTGAGCCCTTAGTATCAGCTCCTCTTTTTCTCTCTCTCCCCCTTTTCACCCTCATGACCCCTTGATAAATTATATAAGTTTTTATTTTTAATTGAGTAATTATATGACAAATATTAAGGTTTTTATTCTTGTACTATAATTAAATCATAATTTATTCTGATAAAATTTTAGATGTTGGAAGAAAATGGTTTGAGATTCAGACTTTGGAGTCTGAGTTGTAATTCTAGTTCAGCATTCAACAGCTAGAGGACATGGTCAAGGTAATAAACTGCTCCAGGTTTATTGTCTGAAAAGGAAGGCGTTCGACAAGTTCCTCTCTAAGCTTCAGTGCTAACATGTCTGATTCTGTTCACCCTAGTAATTTGGTTAAAATTATAGATATCCTTTAATCACTTTTGATTATTGTGAGGAAAAGAGCAACAGTGCTTTACTCTTGAATAATTATTTTCAGCACATGGTTCTTAAAATTTAGGTTCATTTTCAATTTAATTTAATTTTAAATTTTATGGCAAGTACCCTTTGATACTGGCATAAAGTCACACAAATGTAAGCAGCAGATAGCAGTCAGCCCAGGATGAATATTTTATGGAAGAGAATTCATTTGTAGCTAATTGTGTTTATCTTTAATAAACCAATATACTTTTGTTTTATACCAGCAGCCTCTATTTGGATGCACTACATCTTTCAGCTGCGCCTGGCAGTTTCATCTCTTTAGCTCATTTAACTTCTTTTATTGACATCATCTCCTCAGCCATCTAGGGCTGTAAAAGGTGGCACTGTGTTTCTGAATTCTAGGTATAGAATTAAGTTGTAAGTAAGTATAGAGGAGGAATAGGGCAAATCTACTTATGTTGATGTTTTCCAATAGATGTTGACTATTCAGAGCAAGGCAAAGGCACTGGAGAGACTATAGGAGAAACGTAAGCCAGGGAGGCTGGAGAACTTCCCTGATCCCATTGACTAAGTCTTCAAGTCTCTTCCTTATTCAGTTTCTGATGGCACACTGGATTAAGCATTTGGGCTGCTAACTGAAAGGTTGGTTGTTTGAACCAACCAGCTGCTTCAGAAGAGAACGATGAGACAGGCTGCTTCCATCAATATTCAGAGTCTAAAGACCCTGCGGGGCAGTAATGCTCTGTCCTGTAGGATTGCTGCGGGGTTGTTAGGAGTCTGAGTCAACTCCAAGGCAGTAGCTTGGTTTTTTCTTGGCGGGGTTGGAGGAGGGGGGAAATGGAGTAAGTGAGGTGGCTTTCTGATTTTCAAGATTATGCACTTGCTTATTATAGTATCATGACAAATAATTCTATCCAAAGCACAGTGAACAGTTAGAGCAGCGGTTCTTAACCTTTTGGGGTCAAACCACCCTTTCACAGGGTTTGCCTGATTTATAACAGTAGCAAAATTACAGTTATGAAGTAGCAACGAAAATAATTTTATGGTTGGGGGGGTTACTACAACATGAGGAACTGTATTGAAGGATCGCGGCATTAGGAAGGTTGAGAACCACTGAGTTAGAGGAAGATTATCTTTGTCATCATTTTCGTGGATAATTGAGCTTTGATAATAAGAGATCTGTACCCTTTTAGAATGAAATGCTATTGACAAGCAAAAATTTTATAATACTTATTGTGAACCATTCTAAGTGCTTTACATATGCTAGCTCACTTAGTCCTTATAATTGTTTGTGTTAAATCCATATTTTACAGATGGGGAACTAAGGCATAGAATGGTTTAAATAGTTCTCCAAAAGTCAGATCTAGAAAGTGGAGGAGCTTGCATTTGAACCTAGACAAACTGTCTCTGGAATCTAAATCTTTAGTCCTTGTGCTATTCTGCAACTTCCTTGATTACTTGGTCCCTACGTGAAGAACTTGGTATAATTGTTATGGCACCTTTACCTTCTAGTTTTCCTTAAGTCTGTAGAGTTTCATTTTGATTATTGTAAACTTTATTTTCAGATAAGATGTGAAGGCATTAGGTTGTTTCTTTTATGGCTTCAAGCGCTTCAGACAAACTGTGCAGAAGAACAGGTGCTGCTTTTTGCTTGCCTTGTGCCTGGTTTCCCAGCAGTCATGTCTTCCAGAGGGCCATGTACACTGGAGACACTCCTCAATCCTAGCCCTAATGTAGCTGAAGGTGAGTAATGTTAACAGGTCTTGTATGTTGAAGTTGCTCTTGAAGTTACATTGAGAAATTCCTGAATATGGTGTTTCCTGAATAGAAATTCTGATTTCAAAATGGGGTCTAAAGAGGAATTCGCTTCTGTTCATATTCACAATAAATTCTTACAAACATTAGAATAGAAAGAATTGGAATATATATACATAAAATGATGATAGAAGAAATTTACTGAAGTGGTGGGAACAGGAATGAAAGGGAAGGTGACAGATGTTGGTACTAACAGGAAGTATGAAGTCACAGTGTGTCTGGAGCGTTTTTGTGGTTATGAGATTTTGAGAGTTAATGAGATTTAAATTCATCATTCAAAATTACTCTCTATTATCCTCACCACTATTGTCTTATAAATGAGCATTCATCTGCTCACCGGTGATCGTATTTTGCAAGTTGTGTATTTTCATGCAGCATTTGTAGGACAGTAGTGGCTTCATGGAATTATTAATGTTGGGTGGTTGCGTCCTGTGAGTTTTTAAGGAATTTGCCTCTGAGGGCTATTGATTTATTACTCCATATAACTTTAATGCCTGTGACTGGCTTTTGATCTTGAGGTGACCAAAAGCAGAATTTAGAAGAGAAAACAATGGTCAGATGGAAGAAACAGTAGGAGAGTTGGCATCATGAATACATGTACTGTGTTCCCAAGTCTTCTCTGCACACTGGCATTGGGTTAAGTGTGAGTGGATAGATGGGTGGATGGATGGATGGATGGATGGATGGATAGATGGGTGGATGGAAGATTAGGTGGGTGGATGGAAGATTAGGTGTGTGGATAAGTGATGGTTGGGGTGATGGGTGGGTGGTTCGGTGGCTTTTATAGAGACCATTATATGTTTCTAAAGACCCTGTTTAACATTTCACTTTGGAGAAAGTGCTCTCATTATGTTCTTCTTGTAGCAAAGATATATCCAGAAGAAATCACTCCACTCCTACCAGCCGTATCAGGGGAAAAGATCACTGAAGACCAAACATGCTTTTTTCTTCAGATATTGTTAAAGTATATGGTTATTCAGGTAAGAACACAGTAGATAACTCATAATGGTTTACTCTCAGTAGGAAAGAGAAAATGGTGCTGCCCTTTTCTCTGTACAGTCATGTAAATATGAATATATGTATATATATGTTTTCTGATTTCTCATTTGATATAATTGTATGTGATATTTTATTAAACAGAGAAGGTGTGCCATTGCTAGGTTATGGTACTCAAGACCAATCATATTTGTGTGTGTTTCTGTGTTTAAACTGCATTTTCCTTGTCTGTGCATCTCTACCCTGACCTCTGTGCTTGTGAGATAGGCTAGGGAAGGAGTAGGCTCAGTAGGCTCAGAGGCTGTCTGGGAAGATTAGGAGTAAGCAAAGCAGATGGGAGATTAGACAGAAGCATTCATGACTTTCTTGTTATGCCATAAACAGAAGCCTGCTTACATCATAAATAATAAATTTTCTTGTATTTACAAATTGAAAACAGAACTAAAATTGTTATTTTATGATTTTAATGGGTTACTTAGTCCCCTAGTCTATATAAGGGACCTTCAAAAAGTTTTTCAAAAATGGAATTAAAAGCTGTTTTAAATGTAAATGTTTAGAAAATAATGATGGCAACATATGTATAAATGTGCTTGATACAATTTATTATGAATTATTATAAGAGCTGTAAGAGCCTCCAATAAAATTATCTTTAAAAAAAGTGATGGGATTTTTAAATGAACTTTTTGAAGCCTACTACCCTCAGGGCAGTCAAACATCTCATCGCTTCACTTCAGGAGTTACATAATGATAACCATTTTATAAAGTGGGCTATGACATGAAGATAGTGTAGAAGCTCTGTTTTGGAAAAGTTCTCTGTGGTCTAAACAGTATTAAGAACTACTGCCAGGTCTTCTTTAAGGCTCTTTCTGTGCATACTTCCTTAAGTGATATGGGGGTGACTGCACCTGCACTATCCATTTGATCTGCTGGCTTCTGTGGTGTGCTCCTTACTGTTGAACCCTTTTGGAAAAAATATTCAAGCCATTTTTGGAGTTTTATTAGAATAATAATACTGCATGACTATCTATGTTATTTCTCACGTTTTCATTTAGATAGGAATTTTAATAATATAGAAGTATCTAATTTCATTTGATGCTAATTTGAAATAAAAACATGCCTATGTTCTTTTCCACATTAAAGGCTGCAAGCTTGGAGTGGAAAAACAAGGAGAATCAAGATACTGGTTTTAAATTTCTTTTTACTTTGTTTCAAAAATATTATCTTCCTCATTTATTTCCATCATTTACTAAGCTGACAAATATCTACAAACCTGTACTAGGTAAGTAGTGATTTGGCAGTGTCTAGTCATTATTCACAGTGTTTAGTGCTTTACAATGTCTAGTAAAACAAAACCAAGTGCTAGTAAAACAAACTAAGTGACTTTTGAATATTTTTTGAGCGAAATAGTCATCCATTCATGTGCTTAATAGTAACTTTTATAAACGTAAATGTACTTCTCTCTTAATAATATGATGGTGTGGGCAGAGGCTCCCATACTGAGCAATAATTTGAAATGCACTGAAACACTGTTTATGTTAAAAGCACTCAGATACCCTAAAGTTTTGTGTTATGAGTTGTGAGGCAATATGACTTCAGAGTTTGGTCAGTGTGAGGCAGGACAACTCGGGCCTGTAGCTGCATGCAGTGCTTTCTCCTGTGCACTTGCTCTTTCATCCAGCAGAGCCTGTTGGCAGCTGGGTGCTGAGGGAAGTGGTTGAACAGGTGGACCCTCGGGATCATAAGCCTAAGAGGAGTAGGAAATATAAGGAAGTTTCTAATCTAGCTCCTAAAGTTTTTCTTCTATGAGAACAAATTAAAAAAATATTGCTACAGGATTGTAGAACTCTGTTGAACAAAAATACCAAAACATGAAGATATTATTTCTTGATATATCCTCCCTCTAGGTCAATATACTCCCCAAGGTGATATTTCCATCTCTCCAATCTTTCCCTACAATCTTCAGTTTTTACCATATCAAAACAACAGTTTTGGTGTCCCTATGGCACTCAAAATCATGTTTCTTTTAGATAGTCTTTGAATTTTAGGAACAAAAATTCTGAAGGGGCAAGATCAGGGCTGTAGTGTGGATGGGGTAAGGTTTCTCAATGATATTCTCATAGGATATACTTGTTCTCTTTGAAGAATAAGCAAGTGCATTGTCATGATGATGAAAAAAATAAAGTCTTAGGTACAATTTCCTTGACCTTTTTTTAAATCATTTTATTAGAGGCTCATACAACTTATCACAATCCATACACACATCAATTGTGTAAAGCGCATTTGTACAT